TGTGCCTCCTTCCCTGCCAAAACTACTGGAGGAGCGCAAATTGTCATTTGAAATGGTCCCCTAAACGACTTTCTCACAGCAAATGGATGGAGAAGTTGAACAGTTTTGCAACAGCCATACTTCCAACCAATCCTGTTCTGATAATTTCACCAGTAGTTTTCCCCTGACCATTTATCGAAGATGAAGGACAGTCAAAAATAAGTAGGCTATATTATATTATATTATATTATTTTATTGACACACATGTGCCTTTATACATTTCTTGTGGCAAAAGAAAAATTTCAGGACTTTCAATTCAGCACAAATGCCCTCAGTAAAGGAGGACATGACACAGAAAGTTTGAATAATGAATTTGTGTATCTTAAATAACACATGCAGAAAGCAACAGGTGTCTTTACCCTTTTGCAAAGATTAAAAAAAAAATTATCTCACTATATTAACTTTAGTGGGAGACCAAGGGCAAAACCCTGGCTGAAAGGCAAAGTTTTTTTTTTTTATTTATTTTGAACCAGTTGTTCTCTTCTGACAACATAATCCTTATTAAAGAAAAACTAATAAGGAAATTAAATCCTTCAGAATAATTTTCTTTGTTATTTATATGAAAAAAATTAACTAAAATACCTAATTATGTTAATACAGATTAGTGGGTATTAAAAGAAATTAAATAAACAATTTTATTTTAAAGCTACCCATTGAAATGTTACTCCTGTGGTTACCTTATTCATTGTAAATAAATGTGGTATCATTTAAAGGGGTGACCCTGATTCATCACCTAAGAGCTCATCTAAATTTTCCAGAATACTTTAGGCTACCCCCAGATTTCTTTCTGAATCCTCCCCCTTACCTGCTGTGGATAAGGCAAACAACAGGCAGCTGGCTTCCCACACAGTCCCTGCAAGTCAGTGCTGCGGGTGCAAGTTGCTCTGAGGTCCAAACAAGGCACTCAGCCATATGCTGGGCACCTTGCTTTGACTTAAGAGCAATTTGTGCCCACAGAACAACTCAGCAGGGGTGCTTGCAGGGATTGCATAGTAAGGGAGCCAGCTTTTACCACTGTGTTTTGTTCCGGATTTTCTGGAAAATCCAGAGCAAAAGTCTTTTAAACTCAGGACAAGTGGGTGGAAACCCCAAGTTGGGTCCCAGTGTTGTGAAAACAGCCCAGACAGAAAACAGCCTCAAAGCACAATTTGATTAGGGCAAACCCAAGATGTTTTGCTCCCTGCAATGAAGTACAACATGACATCCATGCTCCATTCCATATACATCAACTGACTGGATAACCTGTTGAATGCTCCACACACATCTGACAACTGAGGTGATTGCTTCATTCTTTCCAATGGCCCTGGACATGATAAACAAATCCATGAGGCTTTCTCTGAAGCAATATGTTTAGAATGGGAGCATTAATATGTAATATCTTAAGGGTTCTTGTAGCACCTTTGAAACTAAGAGAAAGAAGTTGGTAGCATACATTTCTCGCAGACCTAAGTCAACGTCAACAAATGCATAGAGTGAAATACCTAGGAAGAGACCTTTAATAGTTATTAATAGGCTAGTTTAATTACTGTTATTTAGTTTGCTTGTATGTTTGGGGGGATGGGCGGGTGGGTGAAGGAGGGATGGGATTTAATTTGATGTATTGTTTTTAAGTTTTGTAATGTTGTACACCGCCCCGATTGCCTGGCAGAGGGGCGGGATATAAATAAAATTTATTATTATTATTATTATTATTATTATTATTATTATTATTATTATTATTAGTTGTATATGTAAATAGCAACAGAAATACAAAACTTGTAGATATGGTGATGAGGTGACAGGTTCGGTTTTACCAATGGTAGTTGGGGGATAAAGGAAAGAGGAAAGATGTTTCCTAGATCCAAGGTGAGAAACCAACCATATGTACGTTGGAGGAAGTTATTGGAATGTAGCGTGATGCTGGCTGGGAACCAGAAAGGAAATGCGATCAACTGGCTAACAGAGCCTTCATGCAGCTAAGGTGTTAACTAGTGTGATAATATGTGTAGTGTGCTTTGTCTTTGTTCAACCCACTGCTGATGGACTGGCATTTGTAGATATATTCAGTTCTGTTTCTCTTTCCAATTTTCCTTTATAGTTTTCTTATTCTTCAAAGACTGCTATACTGAGGTCCATCCATATTCTGTACATATATTACCTATTCTGTAATATGCTGTTCTTTCTGTCTCAGAAATCTAACATGGAACAAAGTTTGTGCATTTCCAAACTGCACTTAATGTCCTCAGTACCCAGAATGGATGCTCCCTTGGGGCATGGTATCCTGAGATATAGTGACTAATCCAAGATCATCTGATAAACTTTGTGGCTGGACAAATCAAATCAATAGAAGAGCTAATTTCTATAGAATGACTATTTCATTTTTGCAAAGCGGCAATAGGAACTGTGTGAGCCTTCAGATTTCTGAATACTGGCTTTGTTGGCTAGGACTGCTGGGGTCTGCACCCTTGCCCCCATCCAGCCCTTTAGGATATATTCTGCAAATCTTCTCATTTCAGTGTATTCAGTAGCATCACTAGGGTTGGCAAGCCCTGGTGTGGTAAACCAGAGTGTTACCTCCCCACTGACCTCCTCCCATATCACACCAAACAGAATCCTTAGTATGTCTTTTGTACTAATGTTACTTGTAAATTGTCATTCCTGTATATCACTGAATATAATGGCAATAGTTGTGACATAAAACAACTAGCAAATTTTGTTTCATTCACAAAAGCATTTTAAAAGATTGTTTATAAAATTACCTTCAGGCTATGTGCATAAGGTGTACATGAAACATAAATGAATTTCATGTGTAGACTTGGGCCCCAGCTCCAAGATCTCATTGCATATATGAAAATATTCCATAATCTGAAAAAGTCCAAAATCCAAAACACTTCCAGTCCCAAGCATTTTGGTGAGGGGAGATTCAACATAGTCTGATCTGTTATAAAGTCCACTGCACTGTGATTTCTTTGCAAAGTTGTGGAGAAATTGTCCACAAGTTGCTATTTTCTGATGAAACACTGAAGGACTGTGTGGTGTCAGCACAAGTGCAAAATCTAGGAATGAATTTTCTCACACAACTATTGATGCATCCCAGGCAGGTCCTGCAGCATACAAAGAGTATGTGTATGAAAATTGTTCCCTGTATATGTAGTGTTTTAGTAGTTTGGTGAAGTTTTGCAGGATTCTAAACATATCTTTTTCTTTGGATGCTGAAACTATGCTGTATTTCAAAATGCTCCACTGAAGTTTGAATGCAATGCTAAAAATTTTTGGGGCTGAAGGATAATTTCATAGAAGGAGGCAGAATTCTTATTTGGAGGCGGGCAATGCCTTCATCCCCTCATATCACTACACCCCTGCACCAAACTACAAACCCAGGATTCTACTGAAGACAATCATGGCAGTTAAAGTGGGATTCAAGGCTGCATCTACAGAGCAGAAGTAAGGCAGTTTGACATCACTTTAACAGCCATGGCTCAATGCTATGGAATTCTGGGATTTATAGTTTGTTGTGGCAGCAGAGCTCTCTGACAGAGAAAGCAACTATCTCACAAAACCATAAATCCCAGATTTCCATAGCATTGAGCCATGGCAATTAAAGCAGTGTCACACTGCATTATTTCTGCACTGCAGATGCAGCCCAAGTGCTATAACTGTGTTGTGAGAAAGGACATCTTATCTCTGGAAGCAGCAGCATCTTCAACCCTTTGCAAGCTCCTCTGCTTTCTGGCCACCAAAGAACTAGAAACTAACACCACTAGCACTATTAAAATGGAGAAGAGAGATACCAAGCTGCTATTTTCAGCAGCCACTGTATATTTGCTGCAAGACCTCATCTGGGTCCCAGATTGCATTGCCCTAGTATAAAATTTCTGTTATAGTTCTGTTTTGCTTTATTTTTCTTTTTACAGATTGGTCATTTCAAAAGCTCTGAAGCTGCAGGTCAATGGAAGAGTATCACTTACTTCATGACCTTGTTTGGTTTTCTCTGCCTCTTCAGCAGTCATCAAGAGGCAGATGTCAAGCTGTGAAAGACCTTTTTGCTTAAATGGCATTTAGTACTGCAGGGCAGGCAGCATCTTGCTTAGAGTATTGGGGTCACCTATAGTTTTGCCACTTAATTTAGCTATCTGGCAGTGTTTTTCCTATTAGACATTTATTTTCCCATCCTCCTCTCTTTTTCTCTCTTTGGCTTTGGAATAGTTGTTCATTGCTTTTGCACTGGAAACTGTGTGCAGGCTGTTGTGTGATATAATGAATGTTTCCCCACACTATGTGTAAGAATTTGAATCATTAATCTGTATGGTGACGTGTACCAGCTTTCTATTCCTGGGGGGGGGGGGAATGAATGTGTCTCTGAGATATCTAATGATAACTATGCTACAGTCAATCAGCTAATGAAGTATCTTCCTGAGAACCCATTAAAATAATTACTGCTTGAATGGGTGTGTGAGACCATGTCACTCCTGCTATCTAAGACAGATGAGAATTGAAGCTAGAAGTGTCAGTAATCTCCCATGCAATATTATTGGTTTTATAATGAATGCATTTAAGAAACTAGTTGTAATGTGTGGAAAGATCTTAATTGTTCCAGAAACAACTAAATCTCCAAGTTGTTTCTTGGAGAATTTTTTTTTCTGTGCTGTGTCAATGTGGGTTTTAAAATATAGTTGATGGAAAGAGTTCTTTGTTTATTGTTAATTTAAAATCTTTACACTCCATCTTTATATCTTTTCCAAGGTCTTTATAACCCATCCATTCAAAATATGACACTTCACTGTATTGAATAAATCACACATCTATGCAGAGTGTCTGTCTGTTTGTCTCAACCATAATTCCAAGCTGTGTGCCTTTATGGTGATCCTAAGGTGAACCTATCATGGGGTTTTCTTGGAAAGATTAATTCAGAAGAGGTTTGACATTGCCTTCCCCTGAGGCTGAGAGAGGGTGACTTGCCTGAGGTCACCCAGTGAGTTTCATGGCCGAGCAGGGAATCAAACTCTGGTCTCCAGAGTTGTAGTCCAATACTCAAACCACTACACCACACTGGCTCTCTAATGTAGCCCCCTGTATTTTGGCATAGATATTGAGTGGATCCTGGGGATGTGCAGCTCTGGATTATTTTTTACTTAATACAAAGATGTGGTGAAAAGTTCTCACCCCGATCCACTCCCCAAAACCTGAGTGTAATTTTATCAATGTAGCTTGAAAGAGTATTCTTTTGTATTGCATACTGCCAATCTGAAGGATCATAGCTCTAATTTCTGAGGTTTTTTAGATCATTGATAGAACCACGTCCACAAAAAAGTGTGGAATTTTCAAGTGCTGCACTCTGAGCCATCATGATGTTCCTGCATAAGAAAAGTCCAAAGGAAATCCATGGGTATATGATGCAGTCACTGAGTGCCAAGTGCCCATCACAGTCAACTGTGAAAAAGTAGTATGTCAACTCTCACCATGGAGATTTCAAGACCAAAGATGTGTCAAGGTCTGGGAGACATTCAACAGTGTCCTGAAATTATTGAATGACCTGATTTTTTCAGATTGGCAAATCTCAGCTAAAACAACTGCTGAGACACTAAAAACATCCCAGGAACACATTGGGTTTATAATTCACGAGCAGTTGGCTATGCAGAAGTTGTCGGCCAAGTTGGTGCCAAAATGTTTGAATGCTAACAAAAAACAAAATTGAGTGGATACCTCCAAGTTGATTTTGCAGTATTTTGATCAATCTAGTAATAATTTTTAGAACAACTCATCACTGTTTATGAAAAATGATTATGCCACTATGATTCATAGACCAAACAATAGTCCTTCCAGTAACAGCACTCAGGTTTCCCATGGCCAAAGAATGTCAAGACTCAAGGTCAGCAGGAAAGGTCATGGCCATAGTTTTTAGGATAAAAAAATACATTTTAATGACTGGCTATCTTCAGAAGAGCCAAACAGTTAATACAGAATATTATTCTAATTTGCTGTGACAATTAAAGGAGGCATTGAAGGAAAAACAGTGAGGGAAGCTGCAGAAAGGTGATCTCTTTTAGCAGGATGATACACCCGCTCACAGGGCTGGCAAGATGATGGATGTTTTGAAGAATGTGGGGTTTGATTACATAGACCACCCATACTACTCACCAGATTTTTCTCCATCTATTTCCAAACCTTAAAACCTTAAAAAGGAGTTTGAAAGGAAGGACATTTTAATGATTCAGAGGTAGCAGCAACAGCAGAGCAGTATTTCAGTGGACAGACCTGTATATAACTTTCTCATCTAGCCATGCCTCCTCCTCCATTCATACTAATATTACAGTTGGCCCTCCATAACCACAGATTCTGCATCCACAAATTCAACCATCCATGGCTTGAATTTTTTCTTTTTTTGTTCCAGAAAGCAAACCTTGATTTTGCCATTTTATAAAAGCCACACCATTTTACTATGCTATTGAGCATGCATGGAGTTTGGTATCCACTGGGGGGGTCTGGAACCAAACCCAAGGAGATACCAAGGGCCCATGGTATTTCCCTGCCTTGAACCCAGAAAAGTATGGCAATTCCCTGTGATTTCAGTTGATAACCTGAGACACCTACTATCTGTGTTGCTATATTGAGAAGAAATTGATAAAACTGAGGCCAACATTTAACAAAGCCTGAAAAACATTCCTTTTAAGAACAGAGTTTAAAAAGGAGCTTGTACATACTCTAAAGGAGTTGCAAATATATTTCTATCACAAAAGGCAGTTTGTGAAAAATGACTGTAGAGAAGGTTGACTGGAGGAGAGAGAAGAAGTCCATCATGTCAATGTGCTAACACCATTCATTGGCTGCTGACAGTGAAGTAAAGGCAATCATCTTATGGACATAGTTGCTAATTACAGGATCAAGTACTGCAACATCATTTTACTAGAAGCTCCCTCTCTCTCCTTGAAAGCCATCTGGTTACTTCATTCAGCATCCAGATAGTAATATGCCCTAGGGATGAGTTTGCTGCATACATTAAGAAAAGAAAATATGTACTGACACATGGCACCAACAAGGGAAATCATTGCAGTTTCAGATAGCAGTGGAGGCTAAGCTGACCACACTGATTATAATTTACATCTATCTTTGATAATCAAAATAACAGTTTCTATCATTTTCTCAAGTCTTCGCTTCTCTTGAAGCCTATGGCTTCTTTGCAAGTGAAGACTTTTAGAATATAAGGAAACCTCTACTGGATCCAATGAAAGATGTATATGTACCAGATGCAGACATTTGGAGGATGTTTCAATTCATGTACCATCTCTCCCTCTTCTTTATGTTGTTGTTATGTTCCTTCAAGTCATTTCTGACTTATGGCAACCCTAAGGTGGAACGTATCATGGAGATTTCTGGGGCTGAGAGTGTGTGACTTGCTCAAGGTCACCCAGAGGGTTTCCATAGCACAGCAGGGCATCAAAGCCATTGTAGAACCAAATGCTATTGCTGAAAAATGCTCTGATATCATTAGCTAGGCAACTTTGCATGTCTTGAAGATGTTAAATTGGAAGCTTAAATGTGTTGTGGCTCAATGATATTTTACTATTAGCTCAGTTATATACTAATGGTTTGAATTACTTGTCCATTCATTATGGAATTAATTAATTACACAGACTTCAAGATAATGGTATTCCTTAATGGATACACAAAAGCATCTTCTAAAAAAATTGCTGATCACCACTGTAAAGCTTCTTTTAAGTACAGAGAATATTTAATATAGGCAATAATAAAAACCAATTAATAATAATAATAAAAGTAAAAAATTACTTAAAGACAAATTGTATACAAAGGTTCTCTGTATGAGTTTGAATTATCCACAGTTATATGCACAACCAAGGTGCATCCATATTTTGAATGTGCATATCATGGCTTTTATATGGTTTTTGAGCACATTGAGAGAACCTATAACATAACTTGATCATATTCATGCACAGGGTCTATTAAAGTCGTCACTGGAGTGTAAGTGGATTAGAGTAATCTTTAAAGGGAGAGTAGTCCCATTCTCTTCAAAGGATGAAATGATGACTCCAGTTCTGAAACAAATCATAATTGGGTCTAGAATTTCTGAATAGTTATAAGCTGGTGACAAACATTCTCCTCTTGGGCAAGATGCTGGTGTAGGTAGTAACCAATCAGATCCAGATGAAACAAGTACCTTATTTTCCTGCGTATAAGACTACTTTTTAACCTGCAAAATCTGTGGTTAAAGTGGGGGGTCATCTTATACGCCGGGTATAAGGATAAGGAGGATAGAGGTGCTAAAACTCTATATTTTGACTGGAAAAATGGGGTGGTCGTCTTATACGCCAGGTCGTCTTATACGCCGGAAAATACAGTATTCTAGATCCATTACAGTTGTGGTTTAGGTGGAAATGGCCTTGGTAGCCTTGTATGGTAGCCTTTGCTGGAACAAAGTAGTACAAGCCTGTTGATCTTCCTGGACCTCTCAGAAGCTTTCAGCACCACTGACCAAGATAACCTTCTGTAATCATCACCAACTGTGACAGTAAAGCTTTTATTCTGCTTATAAATGGTGGATTTTTGGAGCAGGTCATGCTGGAATCCCATAAGATCTATGCTTGCAGAGTCCTTAAAGTGCTATCTTTTTCCTTGTGTTATTTAACAACTTTAAGAACATCTTGACAGAGGTTATGTAGAAATTTAGAGCACAGTGCCATTAGTATGCTGATGAGACGCAGCTCTTTCTTCTTCATTAGATGCAAGTGAGATAATGGAAGTGGTAAACTAGTGCTTGGCACTAGTAATGGACCGTATGAGGGCCAATAAATTGAAATTTAGTTCAGACAATATGGCGGTATTGCTAGTGAGTGCTCCATCTGTTTAGGTAAGTGGTTTCAGTCCTCATCTTAATGCCCTCACATGCTCAGATTCAGTGGTGGCCCCTCAGGAGCAAGGTTTTATTATGCATATATTTATTAATTATACTTATATCCCTCCTACTAATGTGCAAAAGTGAGGATTCTAAATATTTGGATAACAGTGAATTCTCTGTTCATATCAGTTGGATCTTTGAGGATAGTCAAGGTTATTAGTTTCCATGAATTATTACTAAATAAAGCAGAAAAATTCAAAAGAGTGCACTCAAGAGAAACCATGTTACTGCCAGAAATCAAAAGTGGAACCATTGTATTCAATCATAGACCATTTACATCAAGAGATAGAAATATGCATTTTTCATATTCCTGTTCCTTTCTGCTGATTTCTACTGTGAAGTACTAATATTTTGTGAAGAACAAAATTAAGCTTAATGTTACTGAATATAATATATAGCAATCTAAAAGTCATGAAAGAGAGAGTAAAGGTGAGAGTGGGAGAAACCTCTAACTTCTTTAAATTCTAGTCATGATAACTAGAGGGAGTGTGGTACAGTTACAATAGATACAAAGAAAGAAAAAAATATTGGGTCAATTTAAATGATTTCAAGGCAGCAGCCACTGATGACTCACACCTCACGGTGCTGAAGAAACCAGCAGTTGTTAACATCTGAACTAGCAACTGTATTTCAAGATCTGCAGAGAAGAGCATAAATTCACATTTAATGAGCATGTCCATTTTTTTCAAGAAATTTTTTTTGAGTTACAGATCAGACCAGTGCACAAAACTCCAGTATCTGGAAAACAGTTTGAAAAATTAAAAATAAAAACAAAGGTGTAGTGGGGGGAAAGTCATGCAGTGGCAGTGACAAAAAATTGGGAGTCAGAAGGGTTTGGGCATCAAAAGATGTTTCTGTAGTAAACGGTTTTCATAGGTAATGGCAAAAATATTCCCCAGTCAATGCATTTTCATTAGAAAGCATGTTGTGAAGCATCAAAAAAGCAAATAAATTTGAAATATAGTATTTTCCACATGCAAAATAGTTTTGTAAACTAAATAATGGTCAGAAGGAAGTAAATGTGCAAGTCACCCTACTGTAATGATCTGAACTGTAAATAAAATTTAATGTGCCCCAACTTCTCTGCAAACTCATAGAGAAACTGCCCACTTGAAATTGCTTCAAATATATTATTTTCAAAAG